ATCTATCTATCTATCTATCTATCTATCTATCTATCTATCTATCTATCTATCTATCTATCTATCTATTTGTTCTTTAAGATTTTAAAAAATAATGCATATCTATCGACATGTTTTGGTTGTTTGTTTTTTTTGGAGGAGAGGGGGGTTGGGGGTATCTAATTTTAACTTTTTATTTGAAATGGACATCCCTGGCTGCATATTTCATCTTCAAACATAAGAATAGTTTATACCAGTTTGTAGCTAGATGAAGGAGTGAACTGAATTTTCTATCCACTGTGACTTTCATTAATTGATTTGTTACGAGATAATGGAAGACAGACAGCAGACAAACAAACAGACACAGAGACATGCAGACAGTTATCTATAATCACTCCATTGACCATGAATTCACATAATATTATTCTTATTCAAATTTGAGAACACATTGTCTAATCTGCACCCGTTTAGGCCCATCGACGAATTTTAATCTCGAAATATGTGATCTCTAATCTTTGATTGATTAATTGTAAATTAATATTGACTCCTCCTATCAATGCCTTTTAGACCACCAAAGAAGCTGGTTAACTCGATCCTGCCTGTGAACCTGACCGAGTGAGATACAGGAAGACGGGGATATACTTGATAAAACTGACTTCCCTTGATAGGATTCGAACCCACGTGTTTCATGCACAATGGCTAAAAGCTCCACCTTAATGTCACTCACATCAGTCCACTGGCCTCTGTGGTATAGCGGCTTGGCGCTTCGCTGTCGCGTGCAGGAGACTCGAGTTCAATTTAGGGAACTTTTTCTTGCTTATCTTGGTCTTTCTACAGAGATGTTGTAAACCTCTTGGCTCGGGTTAGCCAGTACCGACAGGGTCGGACGGCTGCCTTCTAATTGACCTAAAGTGTGTCTATAGGGCATAATAACAATAACATTAGAAAAAACCAACAACTTAAAACTAAAATAAAATCTATATAAAACAAACTATAAAACAAACAAACAAATTGGTACAGATTTTTCTTTTTTTGTTGCTTCTGTTAATATATGTTTCCTCCAACACACAGGTTTAAAGAGTACGCCCCAATGAAGTATCAAGCTCTCTGTGATACGCTGGCTAGAGATCCTCGTCTAGAGCCGTACTTAATCTAATGAGAGAGGAGAGAGAGAGCGAAAGAGGGAGAGAGAGAGAGAGAGAGAGAGAGA